GTGTGTGTGTGTGTGTGTGTGTGTGTGTGTGTGTGTGTGTGTGTGTGGTGTATAATTGGGGCATTTGTGTTAATGGTGTTGGGGGTGTAAACTGTCTCTTTGTTTTAGAGGCAGAACAAGGCCTTGTGGAGCAAAAGGCTGCTCCTGCCGTTGCTCCTGTTTTCATATTTTCTCACATTGTGTCACTGTCTGCTGACTGCATCAGGCATGTGGTAATCTAGGTAATCTCTGTGTGCAGCAGCTCTCATGCTCTCCTTTCACTCCAGTGTAATGGCCTTGGACGAAACCAGGCCTATAGTAGTTATAGAAACAGACTCTTTACAGCCCCCTCATTGGCCTCTCTTTTCTCTCTATTCAATCAGGCCAGGGGCTTCTTTCCCAGAGGTTGCTTGGCAGCCTTGAGAGGCCACAGCAGTAAGGAGACCACCTGAAGGACTGTCCCGATCTCCCTCCCCCAGGCAGGCCAGTATTCTTCCTTCTAGTTTCTCTTTGCCCTTCTCAGCCTAACCTGCCCCAAGAGACACATCCAGGTAAGAACTTTACATGCAGTTAGCAAGAGGTATTGTGGTGTAGGGCTCCATGCAGTGGGACTTCACGGAGACATCATAAAGACACTTCCATGGAAGATCTCAGTTAAGCTGCTGGCACAGGCCAAGCCCCAAGAAGAATTATTTGGCAGTTTCCAAAGAGCCATAAAGCATTCCTCCATTAAGGTAGGGTAGAAAAGGCCCTCTGACTAGAAATGTACCTTTGTGGGTCATTTGGGAGGTGAAAACATCCACCAGCAAGCCCACAGAGTGGAAAATTCCAGATGGGGCACATGGTGTAACTTGAGGGTGCCCTGGGAGAAGCCTCACTTTCTCTGCTCTACTTCACAGATAGGGAGACCTGAGCTCAGTGAGTTAGCAGTCACAGTCATGTGAGAAGTTGCTTAGGGAAGAGGAACAGAGGTGTAAGACTGCCTGCTCTTGGACTGGGCCAGTCTGGATGTCTGGTGTGATGGGACCAAGTGGCCCAAGTACCCAGAAAAAGAGAAGGTGGGGAAGGAGCTAGACGTGGGTGAATGGAAATGTGCAGGGACTTCTGTATGTCTGTACTTTCTTGAAGTCTTTCTGAATTTGTGTGTGTGTGTGTGTGTGTGTGTGTGTGTACTTTTGTGTGTTGGCCACTGGTGTATGTTTGCCCTTGGAAGCCAAAAGAGGGCAATGGATCCCCTCAAGCTGTAGTTACTGGCAATTATGAGCCTCCCACTGTGGGTAATGGGAACCAAACGAAGGTCCAAGACCAGTGCTCTTAACCCGTGACCCAGCTCTGCAGTTTGCATCGGATGGGCTTCAGGAGAAACAACTGGTAATTTCAGCAGCGAGGCTAGGCTAGGCTGAGAGGTTGTGCAGCTGGCCCCAGTCTAAAGTCTCCTCCCTTCAGCAAGGGGAGTTGCCACTTCTGACCCCCCTTCCCTTTCGGTACCTCATCCAGCAGCACTCACAGGCCTGTAATCCCACTAGGCAGTGTTAGTACTTGAGTCTCACACATCTACCTGTGATTCCCTGTCGTTTCTAAGACTGGGAGCAAATTGTTCATCTCTTGACTTGGCTCTTCCAGTGAACTGCCCTAGTTTCAGTCTGGTTCAGCAGTGATCTTTTTCTTTATTGTTTTTCCATAGAAGATCTCAAATAACCCAGGCTGGACTTGAACTTGCTGTGTAGCCAAGGATGATCATGCCCTTCTTATACTCTTGCCTCCACTTCACCTATTCTGTACAGGGGAGTATGGAAATTTACCACATACCGAGTTATGTGGTAGTGGTGAGGACGGAACCCGGGGCTTTGGGGATGCTCGAGTCCAGATCCAACTGAGCTACATTCCCAGGCCCTTTCAGGTTTACTGCCTTATTGAAAAGGGAATTGGGTTTAGAGGGAAAGCAGCCAATGCAGAAGCCCCAGCCCCGTCCTTTTCTGGCACACATCCTGCTCCTTTGCCTGGGGGAGTTGCCAGTGTCCCCCTGCATCTGGCATTTTGCACATGGCTGAGTCTGTCTTGATGTGAGAAGTGACTTATTTGGTTCTGAAATGTTAGGAATCTTCTAGACAACATGGCCATTGGATCTATCAAGGGGACGCTGCTGCCAAGCTCTAGGTTTAGTACAGGGCCTAGCATGAATGTGGCTGCTATGAGTGGGGATGATCTTCACCTGCTTACCAAGTTCCTGTGGGGAAACCAGTGGCCACAGTCCCTGAGATCTTACGGTGCCTTACAGAAAATACATTAAGATGGCTAAAATGGCCTAGTAAGATTTGACCAGTAAGTGGGCATTTGCTTTCAGGCAAAGAGGTGAGGGAATGTCCAAGGTTTTCACATATGGTAGCAACAAAAAATCCAGGGACTGAGGAGGCTCAGGCTTTGGTGGTCTGCTTACAGGCACTGAGGGTACATGTGCATTCTGGTTCATGGGGTCACTCCGCATGCTGCTAGGATGTAGACAATTGAGTTACTGAAATCAGAAGATCAACTGAACTCTGATGTGTCAGCTTCGATGCCATGATGAGGTGCCATTCTTGGCACGTGGAAGGTTCAGCCTGCCTGGACTGATCACGTGGTACAGTTTATGGGAGAGCAGGCTCTTGCTGATGTGGCTAATTTAGTTTGGTCCTGGCATTCTCCCTTTCCCTTTTAGTGTGCCCCTAACTTCCATGGAAACACATTCAGGTCCTTCCAGCTGGCACCATTACTGAGCTGGTCAGAGCCTAGCCCTGGAAGGACCCACAGGGTGGCAGACCCCAGGGAGGAAGGCGTTTCTGTCATGTCCACACCTCTGAGCCTACCAGGCTCTCCTTAGGTCCAAAGGATCAACTGTGGTTATTAAGAGCAACATCCAATCCCACAGGCCAGGTCTTTCTTCTTCCTCAGCATCGAGTCTCTCAGCCTGGAGAGCAGATGAATAGCCCTCATGGTGCCGTGAAGGCCCTATGCCCCACCCTCTTTGGCCTCTCTCCAAGCCAGGGAAGGGGTAAGGAAGGAGAACAGAGTACAAGGAACCCGTTGGCCTTGACCAGATTCTCCTCATCTGATGCTGAGTCCACTCCTTAGCACTGGGTCCCTCTGAGGAAACAGGACGCAGAGCCAACCTCTCACATAGGGCTGCAAATACCCACTTTTTCCTGTACTGATTAGAGAACACTGTCTTTCCTCCAGCAAACAGACTGAAAATCACCACAACTTGGCCTATGTCCTGCTGCCCAATGATGTTTCCCGACGTTACAGCAGTCCAGAAAGGTAGATAATTTCACTCTCATCCTACTGAGGCAGCAGGAAAGAGAAACTGATTTGCCCAAGGTTTGACGGTGACTAAGGTGTAAGAAAGATGGTCCAGTCCTAAAGCACCTGGTTCCCTGAGTCCTTGCCCTGCCTCCAAGCCATCTGCTTGCCCCGGGAGGTGTTTTGCCCGAGTTGTGCTTCAATCCTACGCTCTCAACTACACAGTGTTGGCTCAGCTCCATACTAGACTCCATGACACTGCTGGAGCTTCCTTTCCACCACATCTCTTCCCCAGAGTCTTTTTGTTTGCACTCTGTGCTCTGCCCTTAATAACTGACTAGAACACACACTTCTTGACTGCCCACACATTTCATATTCCACAAGTGCACAGCCATGGTATACAGGTAGGTGTGGCACTCAGCAGTGGAATGTGTGCTCATTCGCTGCCCTCTCTCATACATTCTGAACTCCACTGACTCTTATCACCTCTGCCACCTGAAGGGTAATCTGCATGATCACACCTCTATGAGCTCACTTTTTCTGTTATTATGATGTAGTACCTGAGGCTAGGTGCTTTATAGAGGAAAGATATTCAGTTCTGGAGACTCAAGGGTGTGTTGGCAGCATCGACTTGATTCAGGTGAGGATCTCTTGGCTGGTGGTATCTCTTTGGCAGATAGGAGAATCTGTGTTTTTAAGAGAGAACTTATATGGTAAAATGGGAAGCCAGGGAGAAACCAGAGCCAGGCCAGACTTGTTTTTTTGGTGACTAACACTCAGGAGAACGAACCAGTTTCGCTCAAGACATTAATTCCATCATACAAGATTTCTCCCAATGATACACTTACCTTCCATCCAGCCTTACTTTGTGTGAGGGGATGGAGGTGAGTATGAGTACGGATGTGTGAGTGAAGAGGGTGAGTATGGATTATATGTGTGTACATGTTCATATGCATATGTGGAAATCAGAGGTCAATATCAGCTGTCTTTATTTTATGAGATAGGGCCGCTTAGTAAACCTAGCATTCACCAATCTGGCTAGACGGGCTGGCCAGCAACCCTCAGGGATCCTCTCCTATCTTTGCCTTCCCAGTGGTAGGAGTATAAGGGGGTGTTACCATGCCCAGCACTGACTGAGCCATTTCCTGTCCCCCAAACATTGCTTTTTAAACCTCTCACTACCTCTTAATATTGCCATATGGGGACCAAGCTTCCAAACAAGAACCTTTAGAAGAAAAACTACATCCAAACTCTAGTGGTGACCCAAAATGCATTATCACTCATGCCTCTGTAAATCTGTGTTTGTCTTTGTTGCCAGGAGCCCACTGAATTCACCAGTAACTGAACTGAAAGATACTCATCATGAGTATTGCGGCATTAGGAAGTAATGGAAAAGGTGAGCCTGGTACTGTGTCTGCCTGAATTATCCCAGGCAAACCCCGAGAGGGCCATGAACACTGCCCAGCTAAAGGATGACCTCAGAATGGGAGGGCTGGCAAGGGCCCTGGGACTAGGGCCTAGAGTTCCCCATTTAAGGCTCTTAGCCTTGCCCCTGCCAGGGAAGCCCTTACCACCCGGCGAAGAGGAGCGCAATAATGTCCTAAAACAGATGAAAGTGCGAGCTATACTGAAGGGTGACAAGAGCTGGATCACCAAGCACGAAGATTCAGAGGACCATACCATGTAAGTCCAGAAGGCAAGGCCAGAAGGGAAGGCAGCAAGAGTGTGGGCATGGGACTCAACCCTTCCTGGGGATGCTGCGAACATCCCACCATTTAAAGCTAGGTCAGGCTGTGTGGCCACTGGCCAGGCAGGGGATGGGGAACCTGAACACAGCCACAAATGTCACAATCCTAGGTGCTGAGAGGCATGTATAGTCACATAACTGTAAAGTGGGTTGGGAAAAGGGAAGGTGAGGTACAGCAGTGGTGCACAGCAGGACAGCTGTGGAGCCACAGGGTAACAGGTGGGGAGGAACATGGGAACCACTGTCTTCAGGGCCTGTCTTTCTGCAGAGAGCAGCCTTCAGGTCAAAACCGTGCCATGTCCTGCTCATCGGTTGGAGGGGTATCCGATGGCAGGTAAGAGATGGTACCTACGTGACTCTTAAGTGGACCCCAAGGAGTCTTTCTACTGCAAGAAAAAGTGGACATCACATAGGGGACCCATAGCCTGAATTGAGAAGGGGATGAAAGTCCTTTAGGGAGCTGTTTGGAAGGAATGGAAAAGACGGGCTCTCTGAGCTTCCTGTTCAGTGTTTCTGCAACTTGGCCATTTCTAAGAATCTGTTCTCTGCTAAAAACAGGGTGGAGGAATAATATGATCCCAGAGCACTCATATTGCTGAGTAAGACTATCCACTGAGTCCTTGTCCTCTCGCCAGCTCCTTGAAGGGGCCCTCATTGCCTACCTTGAGCCCGAGACTGCCTCCTCTCTAACTACCTCTAGCATGCTCTCCCTAGTGCCCCCTCCAAGTCTTCTGAACCCCATCTGTTGTTGACAAATAGCAGTCTCCAGCACTCAAAAAAAAAACAATGATTTCCAGCTGTTGGCCAAGCCTGGGCCCACACTTCTACTGCCATTTGAGATGTGAATGCCCCAAGGGCCAGAGGAGGAATCATTCTAGAGGAATTAGAAGGGATGGCCATAGGGCTTGACTGACCTTCATCACTTCAGCCCCAGGTTGAGGTCAGTCTGGCTGTTGAGCGAAGGACATTCAGTCTGATCCAGCAGAGAACAGATAGAGTTATTCAAGTGCCCTGGTACCTGGCAGGTCAGAAACTTCAGGAACCCTGCAGTAAATGTCCAACCATAGAGCAAGCTAGCCTGGCACCTGTTGTAAGTCAGCCTATGCTGGGCATGGCTGTGGAGGAATCAGCCATGGCAGTGTTGTTGGGAGATACTGAAGGAGAGATAGGTGGAGCAGAGTGGGTACCTGACCACTATATTGGGACAGCTGTCAGCTGTTCTAGTTGGGAACTGGATGAAATAAGGTGGCCTGAGGCTGTAGTAAGGCCATGATTCCCTTCATGTCTCTTTCTTTTGGCAGATCTCCAAACACAAAGGCTCCCACTGGTTACATCATCCGGTAAGTGACTTCAAGACTCTAACTGTATCCTTGTTCCACTAGGGCCATAACCAAACTTCTCAGTATTTTCTATTGTCTCTTGTAGGGGGGTGTTTACTAGAACAATCGACAGCTCTTCTCACTCCCAACTCTCTAAGACCAATGGAGCTCCAAGAAGGTACATCTTTGGTGTGATGGCCAGATGGTCAATAGGATGATTGGGAGAGCCTTGTCCAGAGCCAAGTTCAAGGGAGAGCTAGCAAATGAGTAAAGTAATGTCCTGCTTGGCTTTGTCCACTGATCATGGACAGAGGCTGTGAGTAGAGTCCCTACCCAGGGAGAGGGACTCTGGACAGATAGGCGGATTGTGCGTAAATTTCCTAGTGCCCACACATCTTTATTTTACTTACCCCTTGTTCCCCTCATCTCACAGCTGGCTCCTCACACTTGCTGAGGGTATTGGGCGATGTGCTTAGTTCACCTCTCCAATACACCAAGATGGCATGTTACCTAAATACCTTGGTATTAGCCAAAACTGGCACTCTATCAGAGAAGACATGAGTGAGAGCCCAGTGAGCTGTTTCCTTGTCACTCATCTGGGTCTGCCCTGCTTACAATGTCTGGCCTTGCTGACAGCAAGGAAGAAAGTCTCCCAGTATTCCCTGCCCTGTCTCACCTGTGCTCTGTGGGTAAACTTAGAAGCAAAAGGGTACCTGTGGTTGGGTAGATGGAAATGTCTTACTCTTCTAGTGCTTCTGGGCTGCTCCGAGCAGCTAATTCTGGTCCTTCTCGTCAGTCTTCTGCCTATAAGTTGACTACAGAAGATTATAAGAAGCTGTGAGTATACTATGATCCCAGACACTGAACCTGCTGATGGTAGGTGGACACTTATCTCTGAGCACAACCTCAAAAGAGCTAGTCCTATTGGCTTGACAACCCCTACCAATTATAGATGTGTCCTGGAGCAGATGATGATAAAACTCTAGAAAACTGAATGGCATGTCCAATACACTTATTATAGGAAGCAAAGCAGAGACTGTTGGGAGCTACTAGAAGGAACACATGGGTCTAGAGAATGAACCATGAGCCATGGCCATGGAGGTTGCTGCTTACTCTATTTCCTTGATGAACCCCTCTCCCCATTCAAGTCTCAGGTTCTCAGGCTGGGCTGAGCTTGGCTAAGCTGTACTTTGGGGGCATGGTATTTTTTAGGTTGCCACTGCCTTCATAGACTATTGATGTGGGCATTTTGTGTCTAAAGCTGAGCCTGAGCTTCCCTTGAGGTTCTTTCCAAGGGCCCCTAGCCTGAGAGGGGAGCTCTGGACAGATGTCTGGATTGTGCCAGCACTTCCCATGAGTCCAAATCTTTATACAGTTTATTCCTTGGCCCCATCATACTGTTTCATAGAATAGCTGCCAGCTATTTCTAAGGAAATAGTGAGATTGCAATTAGCTGTTGAAGGAGAGAAAACAGTAGAAGGGAGTGCTGGTGTTTAAGGAGGAGCAGTGGCATGAGCTAAGGCTCAGCGTTGCAACAGCATTTTTGTTAGTGATATTGGCAGTCAAGAAGTCAAGATGTTAAGGGTGGTAGCCAGTAGCAAGGAGAAAGACGGATATGGAGGAAGACGAGCCATAGGTGTTCCTTTCCACCACAGGGCACCGTACAACATCAGGCACAGCTTCATATCAGGGACTGAGGAAGAGGAGGTACCATTCACCTCAGATGAGCAGAAACGAAGGTAATGGTGTCCCTTACGAGCATGCCTATGGGCAGGGCAATGTCCAGAGTCTTCACAGACAGCTCACAGGAATTATACCACCCAGAGTACAAAATGCATAACACATAAGTTGTGAGGACACCCCATGGTGTGAGCATACTGGTGTCATTACAGAAGTCTAGAAACTAGCTCTCAGTGCTGATGCAGCTCAGGAGATACTTCTGAGTACCTTTCTAGGAGTAGAATGTAGGAAACACAGGTCCACAGAAAAGGCTCATGTATAGATTAAAAAGGCCCCAAAGAACTTGAATAATATGCAGGTTAAAGTACCCTGGGTCATCTGAATCTTGCCCTCTCTGGGTGTGTCGTGTTTTTACTGTTATTTAGGTGCAGGAATGGACTCATAGTTTTAAATGCCCCTTGCTTACAAAGAAGGACCCCAAATAAAGGCCAATATCTGCCAACCTATATGTGGTTTAGGAAGCATAGTGACAACCCCTTACTGAATGCACTGAGAGGTTGACAGTTCTGTGCAAAAAGACCACAGTTGCATGAGGCTTGAAATCTGGATAGTACAGGGGCAGGGGAATGAATAAGAAGCTCTTGAGGTGCCTCATATTGAATGCCATTCTGCCACCTGCTTAGGTATGTGCCCTTAGGCATATCACCAGAGCAGTGGCCAGGTTCGGTCAGTCATGGATTATAGCAGTACCTACTTGCCTGGGTTGGGAGAGTCAGTGAACTGGTGTGAGAATGCCAGCATCTTGGGAAGTACTGGGCACATGTTACATGTTCCCTAAGTAAGAACCATTATTCCTTAGTTAGTAGCCATCATTCCTCTAAATACTTCTTAGAGCAGTGCTGCCCTGGCTTACCCTTCTCAACTCCCTGGGGGTACTCCTGAGGCAGCCAGTGAACATCCCAAGCTAGACTGACAGACGTGTGACACCCATCAAATGCCCCCACCTCATACTATCCCAGGTCACAGGCTGCAAGCAGTGTTCTGAGGAAGACAGCCCCATGGGAGCACTCTTATGTCCTCTCGGCAGCTAAGAAGAACACTAGGTGAGTTGTCCAGGAAGGAGGCCCAATGTGCTTGAGTCTGCCTTGGCCACTTCTGACTCCATGGTCTGAGGTCCTTCACCTCTTCTTGGGGCTTCAGCTTTCTTTTGACTGGTAAAGGAATGAGTTGAGTACCTCCAAGGGCATTCCAGCTTGACCTTCACCGAAGTATCAGATGCACTTCTTGGGTCATGAGGAGAGGAGAGGCTCAGGACCCTCTTGGGAGAGAGACTAAGATGGCACCTGCCCTTGAGCTTTTTCCAACATGTCTCCATTCTGTTTCTTTTCTAGCAGTCCAACCCAGGAGCTGCAGAACCCGTTTATTGCAAAAAGGTAAATATCAGCAAGGGGAGCCTCAGGAGCCAGGTGCTATCCAGGCAGCATGCTTTCTGTTGGCAGGGGTGTAGGGAAAAGGATAACTACTCTCTCTGAGCAAAGAGTTGTGTAATGCCACTCAGGTATCTTTTTAGAGGGCAGGTGAACATCTGGGTGAATGGTGGCACATGTGTCCCTTTAAGCCAGTTCTGTGCAGTTAGGAACCTGGCTGAGAGAGTGCAGCTTGTAGATAAACTGCTTATATTTGCATAGGGCTGATTGGGCCTTGGGGGATGTCCTCAGTCCATCCACAAGCTGGTAGATACCAGGAAACATCTTCCCCAACCATAGTGAGAGTCCTCTTGCTCTTGCCCTGCACTGTGCTCTTCTGTCACCCAGAACCAGGACCAGAATGAGTCTATGTTCAGATTTCTTTGGCTGTAGAAGGACATTGTCATTGGATTCTAGACCTATCCCAATTTAGCATGGCCTCATTTTATCCTGTTTACATTTCTTATGAGCTTGTTTGTAAATGAAGTCAGACTCTTGGGTTCTTGGAAATATTCCAATGGCAGTGTCCTTCTTCTCCCCCTGAGCTAAAGTGGCCAAGGCCTTAGTCACCCACCTCATCTGGACACTGGTGATAGCATAACCTTCAAAGGCCAGGAAGCACCAAAGTAGCTGAGAAGACCACTTTTCTCACTCACAGGGTTGATGTAGATGAAGACATGCCTCCTAAGAAAAAACAAGAGCCATCTGCTCTAGCAAGATCTGCTCCCAGCTTAAACAGGTAATCAGTCACTTCCTTAGGCTGTGAAAGACTGGCCACTGCAGCAGTGGCATTCAGTTGTTAAGTTTGTACTTGGTACTTCTCTAACTTGGCAAAATTTACCCTACTTAGAAGACAGACCTGTTGTCTACAGCACTTCTCACATCTGCCTTCTTTGCTCTCTATGGATGGAGGTAGAAATGAGGTGTCTCGGGTGATCTGAGTTGAGTGTATGCCAAATATGCCTACCCCCTCTGGAAGCCAGGAGCCCAGGTGGGTGGTAAGAACCAGATCTGGACTGTGAACTGATAACATGTTTTCTCTTTGGCCTGGCTGGCTGGGTTTGGAAACCAGGAAAGGTCTAACAATAGGGTGACAGTGCAAGGCCATCTAAGTTCTGCCCCTCTTACTATAGTTGTGGATGTGCTTTGCCCTGATTTCTAAGCCTTGTGCATCCAGGCAGCCTCTGGCAGTTCTTCTCTCCAGATGACAAGCCCTCAGTACCTCTTTTTACTTTGCATGGAATGATGCTTCACGTGATAGGGAGTACAGCTTTCCTGTTTCTGTTGCTTTCAGCTTGGATTGACTCTTTGGTTAAGAGTATAGTCTTCTAAGGGCTGTGCCTCTATGACAGTCTGGAAAAACTTCTGAAGCCAGAAGGAAGAAAGGGTCCAGGGCTCCTGCTGTCTGTTTTGGGTAGAAACTAAGGGATAGAGTTAAGTAACTGTAGTTAGCCTTCCATGGACTCTAATCTACATTGGGGATTACCTACCTCCCTGCTTTCATCTTGCACCACTGAGTTTAGGTTGGGGACTGTCTGCCTCCCATGTCCTAGTGGCCTTTCTGAAATGTCAGAATGACATTGTCAAACCCCTTACCTCCACTTCAAGCCTATCACGCAGCTTCCCCTTACCAGGCATATCTGCTAGAATGCCCATCTAGAAGCCCTTTTGTTGTCTGAGAGTGGCCTAAGGTCAGCTCTGGGTAGGAGACTGGTGATACCCTTTCACAGGCCTTATCTCTGGGGCCTCCAGGTCAGTGGCTTGAGCTTAGCTAGAGTATCAAGAAGGATTAAGGACAAAGAACAGATGAGGGCAAGAAGGGGGAGACCACACAGTGTGTCTGGGTACCACACTGCAGGGATGCACCACAGGGAAGGAGAATACTTGGATACTGACACAGGGGAGAAAGAAATTTTCTCTCTCAGAAATTCTTCAGTCTTTCCTCTGGCCTACAGTTTGAAAACTGAGGAGGTCATCTGTTTGTAGATCATTGACCCCCAGAGCAGGACTTCATCTGATGGGCCCAGATCTAGAAGCCCTGAGGTAGTAGCATCCCATTGCTATCCTGTCTCCATTTATATCTTTCTCAAGATGAGAGAAAAACAGGAGGCTGGCTCTAAGCCACAATGGGGATGAGTGGGTTGGTAGGAGGTATGGTCAACCTGGGTTATCACTGCCTTGATATTCACTCAACAATAATTATGTAATAAGTATTTGGGTTTTTTTGAGGCCAGAGTCCTGTCCTAGGACGTAATGTTGACTAGGGCTCCCTAAGGAGAGCTATTGATTCTGTGTGATGAAGGAGACAGATAGATACTAATATGAGTGAGATCAGCCTACAATGCTGACCATACCATGTAACTCAGTGCTTTCAGAAAGTGACAGGAACGGCCACTGTGTCTATGTAACCCTTTATTAAAACCAGGGTTTGAATGATCTTGCTTATTGGAGAAGGTACTGGGAACTGAGTGGGGTTCTTGGGTCTGCCTTCACAGATCACAATGCTGCAGTGCCCTGAGCTTGGGATGAGGAGGGATAAAGGGGCCACATCCACCAGGGAGCACAAAGACCCAAGCTCCTTTTCCTTGGGGTGAGCAGGCAAGAGACTGGCTAGCAGGATAAGGGACTAGGGCTGAGCCCCTTGGTCCAGTGCCCTGTCATCAATCATCTAACTCTCTGCTACTACTTTTCTTACTGTCCTACTCCCCATGCTGTCTTCCACACATCTACCTTGGGACATTTGGAGGTCATTAGCTGAAGGGTGACAGTTGATGTCGTGAAAGGACAGCCTAGCAGGTGGTAGAATATGAGGACTGGGAAGAACACTGGAACATGAATGTTTAAAGGACAGATGAGGTGGAAAAGATAAAAAGAGACCAGAAAGACATGGTCAGGGAGACATTGGGTATCACTGGGTTGAGGGAAGTGAGGTGGTAAGTCTAAGGGAGAGTCCCACTGGTCTCAAAATAATGCTGAGATTGACTTAGGGCTCTCTGATGACCTCAGGATTGACTGAGGAGTTATGAAGACTGCTGCCTCGGCTCCAGCTCTTGTTACATGTGGAACTTGGAGCACACCACTCAGGCCTTCTGAGCATCAGGTGTCTCGTCTGGAAAATGGGCATAGATAGCAATATTACCCAGGTCTTGAAGCTGATGTGAAGAATTAATGGGTGGAAAGTTAGAAGAATAGAATCTGGCCTCTAGTCAACAACAGTGACTAATAATGAGGATTTTTGAGTTGGTCAGGCCATTATTAGCAAATTTTAGAGGCCGCTGGCATTTAAGGATAAGGTAATTCCTTCCATCAGAGGATGGGTGGAAGAGTAAGTCATTTTTTTCCTCTGTACATCTTCCCACAAAAACAATAATGAGGTATCATGTTCTGAAGAATTCAAAAGACATTAGCTTGTGAGGATAATTTTAAGAATGATAACACAGACTCTGAAAGGTAACTTATTGCAGAATACAAAGCCCATGTGCACTCAACCTCAGGGCTTGCATGAGCCTGGGTCCAAAGTCAGTAGCTGAAATACAGACCAGCACTATACTCTTGCTGCATATCTACAGAAGGAGAAATAGAGGGTGGGGGTGGGCCTATAGAGAGCAGAACTATAATGTTGCCCCAGATATCTGACTGCAGAGGAAAAACAACTGTAGACCAGGACATCCCTCTGACAGTCCTTGAGAAGATAGTCCCCACTATCTTCTCATTTGAGATTCCTAGACCCCTAGTGTAGACTAATCCCTGGGAATGAGGGAAGGGGCCATTGGATGAATGGGAGTTTTCTGTCTTCCCTCTCCAGCTTACTAGTAGCCCCAAATTCCTTGTCTCTTGCTCTATTGACCATGGATCACCAATGTGACTCCCTTCCCCTCAGTTTCTACCTTTTGTTTCCATTCTTGTTCCTAACCCATTAAAATTTGAATAGAAACACTTGCCTGATAGGCTCCACTTAGGCCTGGATTGACTCTAGAGGATCAGAGAAATTTAGGGAGGCAACCAAAATCCATGAGACATACTCTCAAGACATCCAAATTATACAAGGCTGCAGCCTGATAAAAAGCAAGAAATGCTTCTCTTCCATTATCAAATCAACTGCACAGTTGAATGATGGCAATGTGGAACCTAAAGCCACAGAATTCCCACCACAAGGTTTCACTAGAGCAGACACTGGCACAGAGAAAAGAGGGTGATATGCTAGTGGGAGACAGTTTTCTCAGATACCTGATGAAAGGCCAGGTTAAAGCCAAACTACTTGGGCTGCTGGGATCAGGACTTCACTCTACTTCCTGCTGTCACTACCACCACCACATTCTTTGCTCTTGGATGTTCTACTGGTTGGATTTATTTCCTTCCATTCCAGTCCATCCACTCCCACACCTCCATCATTGACTTTCAAATTTCTGCAGAGCAAATGTAAGCCTCTAATTCATAGCTAAAGTCCTATCTCTCAGCACAGAGTGACCTCATGAAGAATGAATATGTGGGGAAGGCAGAAGAATCAAACTAATGAATGACCTACATATAGAAGAATCATTGTCTTCTTACTTCATGGTTCAGCTCTGAAGACAAATTCAGAAACCCTTTGTCTCTTATTTCTCCCTTTCCAGAAGTGGAAGAAGCCCTTAAATCTCTTTTGCTTGCCCCACCGTCTCCAGATGAATTGCTTTGAGAGTCAGTGAAAGAAGAAGTAGATCAGTGGCACTAGTTAGGAGACAAGCATGTCCTGGCTGAGTCATAAGCCACTTTATCAGGTGATTTGAAGAGTGACATAGTCCTACTTATCCCCATTCCCACATGGTTCCAAACCAAACCTTGTATTTTTTTTTTTAAGACAGGGTCTCATATCAGGACCTGGGATTTACCAATTCTATTAGCAATCCCCAGGGATCTGACTGTTTCTACTTCCTATGCTGAGATCAAAAGTGTACATTACCACATCTGGCTTTTGTTTTGCATATCAGTCCTTGGAACTGAAGCCTGGTTCTCAGACTTGTAAAACAAACTGTTTATCATCTAAGCCATCCCTACTACCCAATTGTTTTGTTTTGTTTGTTTGTTTGTTGTTCTAAGAAACTGGTTTACTATTTTTTCCAGAGCCTAGGTTGCCCCTCCTTGGGAGCACCACCTTCCTTTTCCAGTCATTTGCATGAGATTACTCAATAGTTGGATTTAGTTCTTACACAACTGGTACCACAGACTTAGGATCATGCATGAAGAGAGTATGTTATCTATGTGGAAGACAGGATCTTGTGTAAGTGGTGGGTACCCTATAGACATCAGTTTGCCAGGAAAGAGGATGAGGCTTAACTCTGAGGAGCCTAGGAAAGAGCTTTCTATACCGGTATCAACTAGGCAGTTACAGATGGATTCTATTAATGACCATAGGGCTCAGAAAAAGTGGAGAACATATTAGCAGATGCTATGGTCCAAGTGCTATTTGAAGTAGCCCAAGGATCTCCTCATCTTCACATTTTCACCCCATCAGATGATTGTAGTGGGACCAAAAGCCTGCAAGGGGCGCTAAAAGAGGGACATGTGATGGGTCTGTTGGCCCAGAAATTCCAGCATCAACCTACATGGACCCACTGTGGGTAGTGGTGGAAATTTCAGAAAAGGAGCATCAGGAGGCTGAGCAGCCAGTCTCAATGAACCTTTCCTGTATAGACTAGTCTGCAGCAGCAAGCAGGATTCAAGGAGACAATCCTCAGGGATGGAGAGCCAGCACTAGAAGGATAAGTCTTATAAAATACTTCGCTTCTATTCAGAAACCTCAGCAGACCATTGTGCTTCCTTTTCTCCGGTCTGGTGCCATGGTAAATTCTGTCCTGGATCATAGTAAGAATGACAGTGCAGCAGACCTGGAAGATGAAAAGGCAGACACCAAGGGGATAAGGCATTAGCAGACAGTGCTAGAAACCCATGAAGTTTGGGTACCTTATCAGTCAAGCTTTGGCTAGGAAGATGAAACTAGCCTGAAGTACATGGAGAGACAGAAGACCCAGCTGGAACCTTTTGACCCTTGTTTGTGTTTCCAGAACGCTTTCCATTCAATGCCATTGCTTCCAATGGGAAAGCAATCTTTAATCAAAAATGGTCACTTTCCTTCAGTCAGAGCCCGTCTCAAAGGAGATGGATGGTGTAACTGAGGATAACACCTGAGATGGTCTGCTAGACTCCCAATATGCAGGTACACACACACACACACACACACACACACACACACACACACACACACAGAGAGAGAGAGAGAGAGAGAGAGAGAGAGAGAGAGAGAAGAATGGAAGTGGACCAAATTTGGAAACATTCTGAAGCTCAAAAACCTTATGCACGGAGAAAATCAGTTCTATGTGAGTCATTTAAATAGGACCACATACTCCCACATTTGAAATCATAAGATTTTTCTCATCCATGCTGTTATATTACATGTATCCTGTGATGTATGTGTGGAGAGGTTGGTTTCTTATGTTGGTTTCTTTGCTATGTTAATCTTGACGCCCCGTTCACCATGACCTGTTCTGCTGCCACAGCCTTCTGTTCTGTTTCCACAGTACCTTTCAGGTTTATACTTAGTTTGTAAAAAGAACCAAAGACTTGGAACCCTGGTTCCCATGCCCTCTTAGAAGGACAGTGCTATGAAGATAACAATCATGGTTCTAAGACAGATATTGTGGGCAGGAGGATACTTGTTAAAGGGATTGGAGGGGTGATGGTGGCAGCTTGAGAGAGCAACGAGAAAGAATTAACTCTAGAAGGAAGGGATACAGCTGAAGCTACAGAATTGTAAATCCAATAACCTTGTGGAGGAAATGTGCTTAGCATGTTCCAAAGCATAGAGACTTAATGAGTGATGGGACCGTGAATCAGGGCTTTGTTCCATATAATAATGAGGCATTACCAATCAAGTTTTAATCCGAAGAAGAGACTTCTGTGGTTTATAGACTTAAAGGTGAATGGCTGTTTGAATTTTTACATTACACTTTTTACTTTAAATCATATGCTGGGAGGTGGTATGGAAAATGTATCTCTAAGCTATAGGCCTTGTTATATAGTGATTTTTTTTTCTTTTAAATTGCACTAAAAATTAGCATTCAGTGAAAATATTGGCTGATGGTAGTTACAGTATATTGTCTTTATGTACTTTACAGTTGTCCCAGAAACCCTGAAAGATGAGTAAATGGAGAAAACAAACAGAAAGGTTAAGTGAATTATCCAAAAACATACCTGTGGCAAAGCTGAGTCCTAATGAACAGCCTCAAAGATAAACCTTCAAAGAAACTTCAGCAAGCTAGTTGATGAAATTTGTTTAGAGCCTAATGTCAGGACCAGATTGATTACCTTCCAGCTGGCATATTTATCAGGTATTATCATTCCCCAGGCCAAAAAAGTAAATTCTGATTGTGCAATTTAACAGGGGAGAAGATTTGGGTCCACACATATGATGAGCAACTAGTAATAAAGTCTAAGTCTGCCCAACTGTACAGACCAGGTACAGAGAGGTACATCCCTTTGATGTTTACCAGTTTGAAAAATCAATGCAAACATTTCTGATCAGTATTTCATAACTGGCTGTGCTCGAGTTGTGGAGTTTTTTTTCCCAGCTAAATTTTTAAGATTTTATGTGTATGAGTGTTTTGCCTGTATGTATATTTGCACACCACCGGTGTACAGTGTCAATGGAGGCCATAAAAGGAAATGGATCCCTGGAGACTAGAGTTACAGGTAGTTTTGAGCCGCATGTGGGTGCTAGGAATCAAACCCAAGGTTTCTGGAAGCATAGACAGTGCTCTTAACTGCTAAAGCATCTCTCCAGACCCTCGCCTTGGGAAGTATTAATAATAAAAGACTTCTTGAGATTTTTGTTTAATTTCCTGATGGTATGTCTCCAGCGTTTTGCTTAAGCACCCCAATTTCCTCTCTTCTCCAGTATAAAATGGAAACCAATTTAAGGATAACAGTTCTTTTCCAGCATACAGTAGAAACCAATTTAAGGATGGGAGGTTTTTTGTTTTGATTTTTTTTTTTTTGAGACAGTGTTTCTTTGTGTAGCCTTGGCTGTCCTGGACTGCTTTGTAGACCAGGCTGGCCTCGAACTCACAGAGATCCGCCTGATTCTGCCTCCCCGAGTGCTGAGATTACAGATCTGTGCCACCATATCCACGTACAAGATGGCAGTTCTTAGGGTTTTGTCCTGTGCACTCCCTACCCTCCTGAGTCATCCTGCAATAACCAGAGATATTTTCGGTTACCGTAACCGAGGGTGGTTTCGTAGGATAAGAATTATGGATGCTGCTAAACGACTTATAGTGCACGTGATAATGGTGCCTGGTTTTTCTCAACACACACGGTAGTATTATCCAGCCCCAAATATTAATATTATTAAGGTTTACAAGCCCTTTTCCACTACTTGTGTTCTCTTCGGGAACACACACTAAGAATATGAAAGAGTGAGCCATAAGTCCAATCAGACTGCAGCAGACATGCACTGCGAATACAGAACACATGCGCCTGTGCCCAAGCCAACCTGACTGCAGGATACTTCAGTTGCACAGAGTCCCTGTGCAAGTTGGTGCAGTCCCTGTGCGCATGCGCGTGAGTGAGCTGGGCGTCACTGTCAGGTGTCAGGGCGTTTGGGGAAGAATACACCTATTCTCGCGACCACTTCATGCAGCTGAGAGTTCAGACTGCAGTGCCCATTGGGAAATGAGACAATACAAAAGGCGAAATGGCTGCTCCAGAGACTGGTGTCTTAAGAGGCGTCTCCTGAGGCAGTGTCCGCGACAGCCGCGAGATGGCGCTGGACGATCATAAATGGTCCCTGTTGTGCTAGTGTGCTCCCTTTACCCATTTTCCCCGCCCCCTTCCCAGCTCACTGGGCAGTCTGCAGTGACTGCTGCAGTACCCACCTGGAACTCCACCCAAGGCTGTCCTCCCCCTGGCTGTGAATTCTTAGTTCTCTGTTCTTTTGAACAAAACTGAGGGGCATTAGGTCAGGCCCAGCCATGATCCAGAGTAGGGGGCTGCTTTACTCAGGTCACAAAGTTAATTTGTCAGAAGCTGTAGAGAATTTGCCAGATGTTGATTTGATTGTGCATACTGGGCTAAAAGCAAGGATTCTGGAGTTTGGATTTAAGCCCAAGGTAACTCTATGGGAACTTTGGCATATTATTCAGCTCTGACATGAACAATAATGGAAATAGCTCATACCATATAATGTTTAAAAACGGCTAAATGGATTTACCTATGCAAAGCACGCAGGGCATTTGTGGGAGGGTCCACAAATATTAGCAAATGCTAGTTTTATAAAAACCTTCAAGATAAATGAAATAGTTTCCAGAGAAATAGTTCTTTGACTTGAAACTATTCAGGGATGAGAGGGTTGTGCAAGAAGTGGGACACTATCTAATAGCATCTACCATCTTTCCTGTGGCCTCGGCTTTGATGAAAATTGAGGAAGATGCTGTCTTCTTGCTGGCTTCGGGTGTTGCTTAAGCTATGTGTTTAACACATGGGGGCATCCGTTTTAGATGAGAGTGTCTGTTTTATGCCCATGGCAGATGACAATCAGAGTGCAGTGGGACAACAAGGGCCAGTCCCTTGGCCCTTTCTTATATGTTGGCCTCTTTCTGTATGTTCCTTGTTCTTCCTCTTTCTATGTGTTACTTGTTTCCATATGTACCTTGACATCTTTCTTTATGTTACTTGTTCTTCCTTAGCCTTTCAGCTGATTGTGAGAAGAATGTGGTCCCCAAAACCACAGAGCCCTGGCAGGAGACAGATGTAGCTACAAGAGGTGGCCAGGGAGACCCAGCTGTGGCCACTGAAAACTCTGGAGGTCCCAGTGCACCCAATCAGCTCATTGACCTTGACTCCTGTGCCAGCAGGTAAGGTCTTACAAATGGCCACCTGCTGCCTATGGCCAAGGTTTCTGTCTGGGCCACAGTATGGGTGGGAACTGCTTTTCTAACTCCAGGCCATTGTGTGGCACATTGGCACAGTCACTGCCTGGGTTTTTCTCTGAATGTGCTCAGGATGCTGACCCCCTGGTCCCAAGTCAGTGTTGACAGCTTTCTGGGATTCGAGAAGCTGGGATGGGGCTGTGATCAAGTCGAGCATGAGGCAGGAGGGAAGCCTGTCTCCAAGATTCTACATGTGTGGGATCCTAGGGTGGTCAAAGTATGACAGAGAGCATGAGTGCCACAGACTATGAGAAAGGCAGAAATAGAATGAGAAAGAGTAATACAGCAAAACATAGACAGCCACAGGACAAGGAGGGAGCATGCTTAAGAAAGCCAAAGAAAGTGAAGAAGAATGTTGGTTTGGGTATGTCTCTGTACATGAATGGTGGATGTTTTGACAGTGACTAAAGGTGACTGTGAAGTATGAGCAGATTTTCAAGCCCTGACTCAGGCTCTTCAGAAGAGTTTTAGCCTTACTGCCCACATCATGTTATTCCACAAAGCTCTGGACATGTACACAGATCATTACATGCAAATGACTTCTAGGGAACAAACAGATGCGTTAGCCACTCACGCAGGAGCAAAGCAAAGGATTCCTTACAGAAAACAGAAATGCTGAAGAGAACCAAGGCCTTTGTGACCAGGAATGTAGGAGAAGGTACAATTAAGCAGGAACATTAATTTGTAGTTACCACCACATCATGTGTTTTTTCTTTCGGTGCTTCATGTCTGTACAGTTATGGGCTATAAGCGTGCAGCCCACCATTCATAACACCAAAGGTATTGAACCAACCTAGGTATCTAACAACAGAGAAGTGAATAAAGAAAATGTGGCTTCGGTGCATAATGGAATTCTTTTCATAAAAATCGAAGTTATGTTACTTGAAGGAAAATGGAGACCATCATATTAAGCCAGTCCCAAGAAGACATGACAAATAGTCGTGTATTCTCTCATTTGTGGTTCTTAAGTTTTTCTAATGGTACATAAAATCAATGACATAAAAATACCTCCCCTAGCAGTGGACTGGGGGAGGGGCATAGGAAAAGAAGACAGAGGGAAGGTGGGATTTGGAGGGGATGGGAGAGAGGCTAAAGCTGGGATACAAAGTGAATAAATTATAATTAGTAAAAATAAAATTAAAATTAAAAATACAAATAAAATTGTAAAGGGGAACAAAGGGAATTAGTTAGAGGGATGTGTGAAATGAGAGTCAAGGTGTATGGGGAAAATGTGCTCAGTATACAAAAGTGCTTGTTTTAAATTGTCCTTATGTATATAACAGTAAAAGGTACAATGAAGACACACAAAATACCTTAAAATAAAAATTTTAAAGTGAAGCCTACAGATGCAGGAGAAGGTGATTCCTCCTGTTTTCCTTTTCATTTTTTGTTTGTTTGTTTGTTTGTTTGTTTGTTTGTTTTTGTGATGGATGGGTACTAGTGGTGTCTGGAAAGATTTTTCTTTACAGGAAGATTGAGGTTAAAGCTGGGTTAAAAGGCTAAGAAGGGTTTTTCCTAATAGACATAGAATTTACATACTAGTGAAGTCATTCCAGATTGAGGAAACTAGAGGCATGTCAAATGGTAGGTATATGGTGAATGTTGATTCAGTGACTACAGGGAAGAAAACGGAACAAGGCAGGCACTTGTTCCTGAGATGGTGACTGCAAACTATACCCTGAGGATCCAAAGGGCCAAAGGCAGTTTTCAACTAGGAGAAGATGAGCTGCAGGAGTGTCAGGCCAGGGAGATGCACAACAGCACAAGCACAGGGCAGGGAGCTGTATAGGATCTGTGGTTCAGACTATAAGTGTTACTGACTTTAAAGATAATGGTGATAGAAAGGTAGCACCCAAGGATGCTCCCTGTTGTCATACTTTTTAACTCTATTTTATCTGTGTTCCTTAATGCTTCTCTATCCCTACTCTACCCCAATCCTTTCCAACACCCCAACACTTGGTGGGAAAGAAGTTTAGTGGGGAGAGGAGGTGTAGTTTTTCTTGGGTATATCCTGCTGGTTAGGGTCGTTGGGTTCCTTGTGGAAAGTCCAATCTTTGAATCCTCGAATCTTCGAATCTTCATTTCAGGACATCTCCAACTTCTCATCAATCTGCATCAACAGCAACCAGGAGCTGCAGGGGGGAGCAAAAACAGTCTTCTTTCTTGGAGACTCCTCAACACTCTCTGGGTTCTGGCATTTATTCCCCATCAGAATCCTCAGATTTAAACTATGTGCAGCTGGCAAAGAGCTCCTGTTAGAGCCTACACCAGGCAAATAGTTTGCTGAGGTGGACAGTCTGAATCATTCCCACATCCCACACCTGGGATTAAAACAAAAACATGTTTATATAACATAACTGAGTTTTTAAAGACATCCAAACTTCCACAACAGCTCCCAGATTTCTGTTTGGGGTGACAGGGTGGATGCTGAAATGAACTACCTGAGAATGAGGAAGTTAAAGGAGTTGCTGAGCAGCTGTGACAATGTCAATCAAGGTCATTGGGTCATGTTGACTTTGAAGTGCCTGTAAGGGTATCCAAGTGACAAGTCAGCCCAGTAGGCTGACTAGAGAGCTGAAAGTTGTCCGCTTATAGGTAAGAAATGAAGGGGAAAGAAAACAGTTTGGGAATAGTACCAAGAAGGAAAGGTTTGGATAAACAGAAAATTAGTAAAGGGTGAAATCATGGAAACCAAGCCAAGGTAACCTAAGTTTCCATGTGGCATAAATCCTGAATATGGCCCATCTAATTTGGCTGCTTTGGGAGAAGTAGTAAGATGTCTAGGAAGTGGTATCATTTGTGTATAGTAGATTGACAAGAGCAGGAGCTGGGGAGGTGCAGGTAGATGTCTAAAATGTCAGATGTGAATTGTAAGGGTGTAAAAAGGATTAATTGGATGATTGTGACTGTAATAGCTACAGGATAATGTGCGCAGTTTGCATAAGTGTACCCATGCCTTTTTTTGGCAACTTTGTTTGGGTTCCTATATCACCTTTCTCCACCCCAATCTTTTCTTACCCAACCCAAAACTAGGTAGGCAAGAAAGAAGGTTAGAGGGGAAAGGTGCCATAGACCTCTTGACTACTTCCTGTTGATTAGAGTTCCTTGGGGGCAAGTCCAGTCTTGGTCATCAGACATCAGAATACCAGCAACCAGCAATAACAAAAGCAACATCAGGAACCAGCAACAGGGGGAGCAGCAGCTGCCATAAGCCCTCCTGGGGTTCTCTTGAAAGGGTTTCAAGAGTCCTCAGATTTCCAAATGTAAGCTATCTGCAGCTGGCAAAAATCATGCTCATGTCAGAGCACGAGACACATTATAGTTAGCTGCTGTGGACAATCCGAAGCAGCCCCATATCCCACACCTAGGATTAAACAACAACAACAACAAAAAAGAACACATTCACATAACATAACTTTTTTTTTTTTTAATGAAACCAGAATTATCGCGACACATAAGAATATAGAGAAAAGTTCACTTCTTGAAGAGATCATGGTGTGGTCTAATTGTTAGAAAGAAAAGGCTCTGTGTCTGAGACAGTTACAGCTGTGGAAGAAGGGAAGTCAGTGATTAGAACTATGTGGAGATCTGGATATTTTTCTCAATAAATTAATAAGATACAAGTCACATAATTAAGTCAGGTTATATTTAATGACTACCTTGTACCAAACCAAATGCCCAGTGTTAGGGATATGGGCAAATACAACTTTGTTTCTGCAAGCTGACACAATGGAAGGTAATGAAAACAGTTAGCTATTATGGCTAGTCCTCTGGAATCAAGAATGTCTAAAGAGAAATGATTAAAAGGTCTTGAGGATGCTGCTTACTAGGGAATTTGGCAATTATCATTTATTCATTTATTTATTTTTTTATTTTAATCACAGGTCATTCACTTGTATCCCAGCTGTAGCCCCCTCACTCTTTTCCCTCCCAATCCTCCCCTCCCTCCCTCATCTCCTCCCTGACCCCTTCCGAGTCCACTGATAGGGGAGGTCCTCCTCTCCTTCCATCTGACCCTAGCTTATCAGGTATCTTCAGGATTGGATGCAATGATCTTATCTGTGGCCTAGCAAGGCTGTTCCTCCCTGGGAGGGGGGGGAAGCTCAATGAGCCGGTCATTGAGTGCCTGTCAGAAATAATTCCTGTCCCCCTTACAAGGGAACCCACTTGGATACTGAGCTACCTTGGTTTATGTCTGAGCAAGGGTTAAAGGTAACATCCATGCATGGTCCTTGGTTGAAAAAACAGTCTCATAGAAGACCCCTGTGTCCTGATATATTTGGACCTTGTGGGGCTCCTGTCCCCTCTATCTAGGTCATACTAACTCCCCCTTCTTTCATATGATTCCCTGCACTCTTTGGCAATTATCTTTTGCAACATTTTAACAGATGTGGCATGCTTAGGGAACACTCCACACTTTTTGATATGACTGCAGTTTATGGTAAGAAGGTGTGGTGGAATTGATGTTGGACAAATGATATGTAGAAAACTTATTGCAGTAGGCCTGAGATGGCTATGCTTGGGAGGACAGGATGGTCTTGTGTGGCTTCTGTGAATGTGAAAGAAAAAGGGTTCTCTCTGCTAATAATATAGGAAGGGATATAATGAAATCTGTTTGAAATGTTTCCCATGGCAGCAATTAGAAGAGTGGACTAAAAGTGGGCAGAGGGGCAGGGAAAGTCCACCATGAAAGAGATTTTGGGCTTAGACTAGGGTAGTAACCATGGAAACACAGGAAAAGAGATAGAACAGACCCTGGACTGGGCAATGGATAAAACGGATAAGACTCAGAACCACGCTTCTAGGTTGAGGAACTGGGTAGATTGTTTGCCTCCTTCTGGCTCAGATGATGTCTCCAGTCTTCCAGTTAGCTGCCTCACTAAGCAAGTGTGCAATCCTGACCTGGATCAGAGGTTGTTTTTCAGTGAAAAGGTCCTAAGTTGAACCACTAAGATATGAGAAGATAAAGAAAATAGGAAAGCTTGGGTCAGGAGGTCTTGCACAAGCTGATGTTTCCAGTTTAGAGAAGGAGCTATGTTACTTCTCCATCTATATGGGACTCAGGGAAAGCCTCATATTTATCTATCCCTCAAAAGTCCCCCCTTCTTATTTTATAAGAAAAGATGGATTACTCATCTGAGTGTTCAAGATATCCCAACATCCCATGAACCAACAAATGCCTCTCACTATTGTCAAAAGAATTACTAACATAAGTATTATGGACATAATGTTAAATGAATGTTGAAGGATATTAAATGGGTTGAATCTCTGTAACTCGCTGGATGAGAGCCACCATGGAAGAAGTTTCAGATGCTATAGCAGTGACTGCTGCCAAACTGTAAGTTAAAATGGAGAATATACACAGTTAGAGAAGGAACAATTGATACAGGTCATTTTGAACTGTCCTTGCCTTCTTTAACTGAGGAACTCCCAGTTAGCAGCATATATGGAGGGTTGACACATAAAAGGGTTTATACTTGTTTATTTCCCATATACTCTCACATACATTCTCATATAATACTCCCATATACCATCACACTGTCAGGCCTTTGCTCTTCTCTGGAGAAGATATACAACATTCATTCTTTCTCAGCACTCCAGGTGCTTGTGAGGAGAAGAATGTGGCCCCCAAGATCAGTAAGACCTGGCAGGAGATATCTGCAGCCCCACAAGATGGACAAGGAGACCCAGCTGTGGCTATTCAACAACTTGCAGATTCCAATGGACCTGAGCAGCAAGTCAAAGTGGAGGACTGTACCAACAAGTAAGGGCCTGCATGGCCTCTTGCTGGCCCTAGCTCAGGTGTCAGGGGCACAACCCAGGAAAAGCACATGCACCTGTGACACAGGCCCATTTCCCTTTGCAGGCATGAGTGTCTAGAAAGCAACAGGGAGCAGACCTGACTTCCTGCAGGGTCTTGAAGTGCAAGTCTCCTCTTGGAGTCATAACATCAGATCAGTTAGAAAAAGACTGGCATAGAGTACCATATTGTCTAGCAACCTGTTTGAGCCTGAAAATGTGGGGTTGGAGTTAGGGATATGGGGTGTTTTGCCATTAATGGGACTGTAAGATCTCAAAAAGGTAGAGCCTGGTGTGGATGAAACTTATTGCCATAATTAAACTGGCCAGTTGGATGAGTTCTTTCACTGCTAAAACCACCAGGATGATATCTGACCTGCTCCTCATTAATACCCAAGTCCTTTGACTCTCTTCTGATGTTCAGCAGTTTTCCAGAGAGTTTGATATACGGAGAGGGAGCTAATCCTACAAAGGGATTGTCTAGTTTTCTAACTAGGAAACTAGACTTTTTTTTTCCTGTTGCTTCCTCCGGGTTCCTGAATTCCCAGTAGCCTAAATTCAGCATAGAAATTGGAAGATGAAAGTCTCACCTGAGTCATTATGAAGTGGGCCCAGTCTCCTCCCATCCAGCCTGGATTTTCTTATCTGTATAGTGAGAAGTTCCACTCATCGATCTATGAGAAACCTTCCACAGTAATAATAAGGGATTTGCAGCCACTCTTCCCCAAACACTGGCATGGTTTTAAAGGTCTTAAAGTGGCAAATTTGGGGTTAGGCTCAGGAAGTAGAGACATGCTCACTCTTCATTATTTTTTTCAGATTGAAAAGCCCTTCAAGCTGCACAGTCACTGTTACTGTCGGTGCCACCTCCGAACAAACTCAGTTGTGTATTCCAGCTGCCTCAAGTGAGCTGGACTCCAGGTCAACTGTGTAAGAAGGGTTTCCTATAACCTTTCAAGTAAAGAATGTTGCTTTTGTTCTGTTTTGCTTTCTCCATCATGTCTCATCCAACTCCTAGCATCCAAGTAGCAAATGAGCAGATACAGTGTATTCCTTAGTCCCTCAAGTATAAATTTTACACTCCCAAAGCCTATTGGCAGGACTTGGCATGGCCCTGTAGCATGCTTTCCCTGTCATCTCAACAAGAAACTAAAGTGGAACATATAGGACACCAGCAGTTGCAACCAGAGGCAGGACTTTGCCACCTGTAGAGCTTTGTTAGCATCCCTAAGGGACATGGCTGGGAAGACCCATGAAAGCCAGGGAGGCCAGGCCAATGTTTGTCTCTCCTTTGTGTCCACTGCCTCCCCTGTATTATTGAATACCTTTTAGCCTACAAGAAGGGATGCCATTCTAGGGAGCCTGCTGAGAGAAAGGTATGGTGGTGAGGTACCAAAAGAATTTCTGCTGATATCCGGCCAGGGGACTGGAGCATGGAAATGAGGGTCAAGTATGGTGCTACACTGAGAGAGCAGGAAGCAGACCTTGTTTACAAAGCTTGTAGAGGCTTTCTACAGCATATATTAAGGTTACTTGCAGGCTCCTGGATCCCAATTGATAATGGAGTGTAAATAGCAGGTGAGTGCTGCAGGGAAAGTGCTGAGTGGAAGGAACCAGCTGTCCTTCATTCAACCACTGATGACATTCTGATTGTGGATAGAATAGTGAAAAAGACTCAGCTACAGAGGAGGGAAAGGAAAGCTGAGGGGGATTGAGGCTTCCTTGAAAGATGGCATGCTACTGTTAGTTTCAGGGAGCCACCTTCTTCAGCTCTCAGTCTAAATACAAAACCCAGGAACTAAGATTTGAGCCCATGTGTACAGTGGCATCACCAGCCTGGCAACTCTGTCTGCAGCTACCCTTTCAGCCTGGCTTGTGGAGCCCCACTAGCCCCTCTACCATAGGCCTTCGCATGAGCTTCTGCATTTCCTTCAAACTGAGGTGAGGCATTGCCCTCCTCTGTGGGCCAGGTCCAGTCCCATGGTATCTTCTAGTACATGCCCTATACATGCCCTATTCTGCTGTGCTCCTTCTACAGCAAAGGAATTCTCTTCGTGAAAGAGTACATGAATGCTAGTGAAGTGTCTTCTGGGAAGCCAGTATTTTCACACTATGACAGGTAAGAACAAGTTTCAGCTGCTTTGTTGTCATAACTTGTACCAGGCCTGGTACTGCCTTCATTCCTGCATCCTGTTACCTCACTGATGACTCAGTAGAGAGTAGCTACTGGATAATCATCCATTGTATGACAGCATAGTGCAATTGCCTACTAATGCATGATTTATGGATTTCCAGGTTTTCTATCTAGTTAGATGGATAGAAAAATCATCTTTAGTCCCCATGTTCTTTCATGCTAGGTGGCCTCATATACAGACACCTTTTCACCGATCACCTTGTCAGCTTTCTTTCTGATACCATGCAGGAAGGTTCTTCCATGTGTTTTCACTGCTGTGCCACCTGTCTACACTCTAGCTTATATGAAGTTGATATAAAAATAGCCTGCACAATTGACTCTGGTTGGCTTGACACAGAAACATTGCTGTTAAGCTGTAAGTTTTACTTCCTTATTCATTCCCAAGATCACATCAATATTACATTATGAACATCCTAAAAGTCAAAAGTTCCACAGGTCTTTAAAAAGTCAAAAACTTAAAAATTCAATCTCTTGAGAACACCCAGTCTCTTAAAATTGAAACCCCTTTAAAATCCAATGTCTCTCAATTGTGGGAACCTGCTATATGCATATGGTAGATAGATAGATAGATAGATAGATAGATAGATAGATAGATAGATAGATAGATAGATAGATAGAT